GTGAAAGTCCCTGGTAGCCCTCCAAGCAGAGCAGAAGATCAGCCCAAGGGGCCTGTTTCTTACCTGGATGTGGCTGGGCTGCTGTTCAAACTGAGAAACAAGAGTATGAGGCAGGCTGGTTGTTCTTACTGCTATGTGAAGAGAGCAAGAACACCCTGAAGAACAAAACATCCACATCAGAATCTTCAGTGGGAAGATAAGATCCCCCAAAAGCTGTCTGCAAGTCCCCAGCCTCCCATGCTTGTACAGGACAGTCTTCCCACTTGGGACATGGAGCCATTTAGGAGCATGGGGGATGCTCCAGCAAGAGGGGCAGGGACAGGATGATAGTTTAGAGAGGAGGAAAATCAGCCTCAGATGCAGCCAACAGCTTCCCACTCCTCCTGAGCATTAGGGGACTCAGGAAAGCACCTGCCCAGCAGCCCCACGGGCCACCACAGCAGCTCTGAGGCTTTTGGGGCTGCAGGTTGTCATCACCCCTCAAAGCTTCTCCCACCCAGAGGTCCATCACCCACCCTTCCCTTCATCTAAGAAAGGCTCCCAATGCACCATGGTCTTCCTGCTGTCCAGTATTCCATCACCCACTGTGCTCCCAAGCCACTCACACATGAGGAGCTTAGACATTTTCCAAAGGGGTGTCTCCTCTGGCATTTGACATGGGTTTGAGTTCAGCCACACTTTTTCCTTGCATGCTGTAAACCTCATTTGTCCAGGGACCTGCCACGAGCAGTGCACTGAGCTTCCTCTTGAAGGAACAGCTTGACCACAGCTACTGGAGCTGCAGGAACCTGGATGCCTTCACAGAATCTCACTGGCAATGTAGAGGATGCTTCCCCCATCACCACATCTATCTGCCAACAGATGAAGGCAGAAGCTGCTTCATCCCCCACCTCAGTCCTGAAATAAATAAAAAGCTAAAAAAAAAATACTGTCCTGCCTAAACCGAGGAATTTTAAGAGCATAAAACCTTCTGAGTCAGGCCATAAATCAGCTTGCTTCATATTCTGACAGTGGTGATTCCTACCCTGCTGTGTCCTTCCTCCAGCTCCAGGCAGTGAGTGGTTTGAAGACCCTCCCCTTGGCCCACTGGGCATTGAGCACAGATGGATCTATTCTCCACGTTTGTCCAACCTCCCCCTCTTCCCCACAAACCCCTCTCCAGCCTTCCCACCACCCCTGCTGTCTTCTGCAGTCATTCTGCCCTCTGAAAGCCACGGCTAGCACCTTTCTCAGCTCAGCTTCACCCAGAACTGGGGTCTGAGCACACAGCCACAACCTGCTGGGAGCAAACAGGCACCAGAGTGGGCCCAGCTCTCAGTGCTGTGCTCTGCTGCATGAGGAAAGGGACACCAAGCCCACAGCTCAAAAAGAGGAAGGATCCCTAAGGATGTAAAAAATTCAAGACAATTTAAAGAAAATAAAGAGGAGACTTGAAACTATGGCCCTTTGCTGCTCTGAGAGGCAGGGCTGGGCTCAGGTAGGGGAAAAGGGGTTTGCCAAGCAACACAGGAAAGAAAGCACCCAAAAAGAGGGAGCAAGAGGAGCCTGAAGAAGTTGTGGCAAAGCATGCCAGGGCTTTGAGCTACTGAGAAGTTTTGCTGAAGCTGCTGCTCAGGGACTGCTCACTCTCTGCACAGAGCAGTGGGAGGGAGCCCTGGGAATGGGCACAGCTGCTCTGCACCCCAGGAATCCAGCCAGGGTGGAAATCCCACCAGGAGACTTTGGGGATAATGTGAAATCCATCACAGCCTCCTCCCCTCCCCTGCTCATCCCACACAAGCTTCAAAACTTCTGGCTGGCTGCTGGAGGATCAGTTGCAGGCTGTCTCTGGAGGGATAATCCTCAATTTTAAGTGACAGTTCACGGGCATCTTCTCTTCCTTCTGAAATGCTGTCTTACACAGCACATTAAGTATTTTGGAGATTAATAACTAGAGCAAAGAGTTCTAATCTTGGTGTCCTAGTGGAGCTTTAGCAAGGGGTGGTTACTGCTTGAAGTCGCTGTGGCACAGGAAACCTAAGAAGCCTTGAAGGCCACAAGCAAGGCTCAGATGGAGCTCCAAGGGAAATCTGGGACATTTCACACGTGCTCTATGTTTAGTCTCCAGGGCTGCTCACTGACGTGGTGTTTCCACTCCCAGCAGGTCTTTGAGACCCTGTGAAAGGTGGAACCCAGTTTGAGCTCTCTTTTAGGTTAACTAGACCAAGCTCTCCACGTCCATTAACAGCCAACGTGTACTTTTGTGTTCTTTGACCTGAATTAGGTGATAACTGAGTTGGATAATAAGGTTACAGGTTGCTTTGAACTCAAAGCAACACTGAGGACCAAACAGGAACCACTTGACCCTCTCTGGACTGGTGACTGCACTTTGTCAGCTCAGACCCCCAGCAGCAGCCCTGGCAGAGGCCCTCACAGCAGCCACTCAAGTTTCCTGTCTGCAGAATGATCCTTTTTTTTGTAAGCCCAGTAAAGCTTTCTCACCATAACAATTGCTCCTCACACAACCAGAAGTCCCATGGAAAAGGAGCTAAGCAGGTACCTTATTGTTCTGCTCCCCTCTCAGGTGGTATAGGACAACACACAGAAGAAACAGACCAAAGCCCTTCTGGGTTTGGTGAGCCCTGTGTTGGTTATGTGGAAAAACACCAAATTCTGCACACAGCTATGAGGAAACCTTGTCACAAGCATCCCAAGATGGAGCTCCACGAGGACCTCAACCAACACTACTGCCAAAGAGAGCACCACTGTGTCCTCCTGCCCTCATCATCACACTCTCCTTCCACTTATTCTCCTGCTCACGTAGCAACACAGCAAATCCTGTCAGGAAAAGAACTTAAATGGGGAAAATTAATCCCCTTTTGCATCCTTCATGCTTTTCATGGTGCTCCTCAAAGCAACTCAATGCCCACCAGCACACTGAGAACAGCCCGTGACCATGATCACGTTGTCCGAGTTCATTAGTTCCTCTGGTTATTGTGAGGATAAAGTAACAAATTAACAGCTAATATTTAGGGGATTATAAAATTAGGCTTCCTTAGAGCTGTTAAGCAGCAGATCTGGCAACTCGGTGCAGAATTTAGACAGCTCTGCTTTGAGTTAATGCAAGTGGCACCATTTGGCCAGACCTTCAGAAGGAATATATCCATCCACGAGAGGCCCTTTGAGAGCTTCATGCAGGAGCAAGTCCATCTTAGGATCTCTATCTTAAATATCCTAATCTATATCTTATTTAGCAACAAGGAGGGGAAGAGGTTTTTGTATCTCAAGCACCCACTCTGCCAGGAGAGCTGAAGATGCCTCAGGAAGGGGTCGGGGAGCAATGGCACAGCACAGACTCTGCTCCAGGTGCAGGAGCAGGTCTATCTTAGGATATCTATCTTAGATAGATATCTAAGATATCCCTCTTATCTATTTAGCAACAAGGAGGGGAAGAGGTTTTTGTATCTCAAGCACCCACTCTGCCAGGAGAGCTGAAGATGCCTCAGGAAGGGGTCGGGGAGCAATGGCACAGCACAGACTCTGCTCCAGGTCACCGATAGGAACTGAGACCAGAAAAGCCACTTCCCTGGGGGGCACTGGGCCATGTTTCAGCCCAGCACGTTTCTCCACATTCTTTGCAACTCATAGAATTGCCTGAATGGTCCTGAAAATGAGTGTGGCCCCCAGGCAGCTAGGGATAGGCTCAACAGTCCAAACTTGAGGTGACCCAAAGGCAGCAGGTCCCTTCTCCTCCTCCTCCCCTGCCCAACAGCCTGGGGGGACCAGGCCAAAGCTCCACCAAGACCTGTATCCCACCTGAGAGTCACCAGTTCCCTTTTTTTTTTTGCTCTGGACAATAAACTTTGAACCCAGAAACACATCTCACATCCTGCAGCAACACACTCCTCCCTTCAGCACCAACAAGCACCTCGTGTGCCCTGTTGTGGCTCTGCCTGATGACAGCTTGTCTTAATGCAGCCCCTGGGGACAGTAAAGCCACTGCCTGGTCACCCTCTTTATACCAGCTACACCCTGGAAATTTCCCTCATATTCTTCCTTTCTCCAGCCTAATGGTTTACAGCTCTTGCCAAACTGGTGGAGTCTGGTTTGGTCATTGAGTTGTTCAGTGAGAGACAATTCCCCAGATTTAAGCTAGAACATGTTGTGCAGCAGGTCAGGGGCCTGGCTGCAAACCTACATCTTCCAGCAAGGCACAACCAACCAAATCCATCCTTACTGCTGTCCTCCTTAAGAGGTCAAATCACTGAAACACATCAGTCAGTGGTAAAACAAAAGGGTTGCTTTATTGCTAAAAGAACTTTTATCAAAAGTCCCACTAGTCAAGAGTTGCCCTGCTCAGCCACAGCTCTTCCCAAACCACTGCAGGAGTGAGCACACCAGATCCAGCAGCCCCTGGACTGTGCTCTGAGGGGGTTCTGTCCTGAGAGCTGGGCAGTGCTCTGTGACAGCAGGTCTCCAGCCTCAGCCAAGACAGTGACATCACGGACAGAAACTCAGTCAAAAAGCATCTCGACTCCCTCTGCTTATTCTGTGGTGGTTTAGCCACGTGTGCAGCAGGAAGGAAATGAAACACGAGGTGAGTGCAGGAGGCCCCAGGAGGAAAGGGCCAGATCAGACCTCGGGCAGCAGAACTCACCCTGGCCAAACGCCGAGCGAGGGGGACGCCTGCTGGGCTGACGTGCTCCATGCAAGCCTTGCACTGTGCAGTGAAGCCAGGAGAAACCCAGCAGGTTTGAATTCCACAAGAGCTGTAAAACTTACACTCTCAAAAACCCCTGAATCTTACTATGAAAGTTCCTCAGAGGGTGTTTTTCCCTGCAATTCCCTTCGGTGGTGGCTCCTCCTTGCCGCCGCAGTGCCAGGACAGCACCAGCTCCCACCCAGCCAGGCTCCTCCTGCTGCGGGCACCTGCATGAGCAGCCCCAGGCTCCCCGGGCAGGGAGGGCAGGTCGAGGGCCTCCCCCACCCCCCAGCGAGGGTCTCTGCCCCACGGGGAGGGGCTAGCCCTGCTCACAGGGGGTGGAGCCCGAGGCCAGCGCCCGGCTGGGCGCCTCCGCCCGCGGGGGCTGCTTGGGGAGCCGGATGGGCACGTAGACGTTGGAGGCACAGTGCTCCTTGAGGTACTCTCCCCCCTTCTCCTCATAGTCCTTCCTGCTTATCCAGCCCTCCTCACGGGTCATGTGCTCCACTGCCCAGTCCCGAGCCCCGTACCAGGCGTCCAGAACGGGGCTGGAGGCGAGGTGGACCTGGATGGGAGGAAAACAGAACAACTTCAGCTCAGCTGGGGAGGGGAAAGGCCTTTCCACCCTGATCCCAGTGCTACAGGACACAAACCACTGCACTTCAGCTCATCCTTCAGTGCCTCTGGTGAAAAAGTCTTGTCAGGAATGGGTTTCAAGTATGTTTTCACCTTCAGGTCAATTCTGCATGAGCCTGCTTTGTTTCTGCAGGTTGAGAGAGCACGTGGGGGTATCACACTCACAGCCAACAGCCCTCACAGCTGGAAGCCCAGGCTGGAAGAGTTGGTGGTCTGCAAAACATGCACCAAGTGCTCCAGCAAAACTCCCTCCCTGCTTGAAGCAGCAAGATAAGGAGTTGCAGTATGTGGGGAAGAACCACACGTGCTCTTTCCACGGGTGTAGAGTCACCTGAGCTGCTCCTGGGACTGCAGCATGAACTGGCCCAGCTATGGGCTGGCCTAGACCCCATGTAAATCCCCAGTGCCAGCCCTGTGAAGTGACAGACTTCTGTCAGGAACACACTTTAATGGAAAGAAGGAAGCTCTTAGTTTGTATGTTAGTGTGTATCCCACACAAAACCCTTCCTACAAGGGCCAAGTCTATGGCTGGAGCTAAGTTTCTGTCACTCCCACCTGGCTCAGACCTACAAAACAAGGGGTGTGGAATCACAAGATGGTATTTGCACCATATTTTTTTCCCCTCTCCTCAGTTTAGAACTTGATTCTCTATTCCAGAAGGTTGTAGATTTGAGGAGACAAGGTGGTTTCAGAACAGCAAAGGAGACTCTTGCAAGTGTCCTTACAAAATGCACAGCAAGCTCCAGGACTTGCTCAGCTTGTGCTCTGCTTGCTGCTACAAAAGTGACAAAGGATCACAGGTCTGCAAGATACTCACTGAATCTTTCTTACTAGTCCCACACAGTAATTACAAGCAGCAAACCAAATCCATCACTGAATTTTGAAGTGAGCACAGTTTTTCCCAGCAACTCCTCCTAACAAAGGTCCAGATAAGAACTGTCCTAGTCCTAAGAAATCAATCTGCAGACTTCCAGCCAAACATGTTGGTGTGTGCAGAGTCCTGTAGCTGAAGCAGGTTTCCCTTTTCAGAGACATCTACCCTGCTCTAACACCTTCAGAAAGTGCAACTCTATCTTGGCTTAACTTTCATCTTCTCAGGTCCAAAAAGCTGTTTGTAGCCTCCTCATAAACCACTCTCCACCCCAATGCTCTAATCACAACCCCAATTACTTCTGAGCACAGAAGAAGAAGCTGCTGACACAAACACCAGGTCAACACAGGTACCTGAAAAGATGACTGGAAGGGCCTCATTTCAAGGAGTTCCTTCTGGACTCTGGCCTTCATTCCAGGGTACATTGTATTTCCACCAGTGAGGAAAACATTCTGGACAAGAACAGCTTGTTGTTCCTTTGGGTATCTAAAGGGAACAAAAGCCAACGTCAGCCTCTCTCAAGGACATGCCTCCTATGAGCCCAGCAGCCACAGGGAACATTGACACCTTGGCCTCAGGAGGCACTCTGAGAAACCTCCTTCACTCCCCCAGCATGAAAACCTGTGTTCCTGTCTTCCAGAAATTCAGGGGATGGGAGAAGAAAATCCTTAAAGCACTCTGTGCACTGCACCCCATAAATCAGCAACTCAGAGCAGGAATTCTTATGCTTCAGGAGTTCATACAGTTAGGGGGGACATCTACTGCCAAGCTGTCTGGCAACAGCTGCCCAGCAAGTGTGCCTGTATCATAACTTTAAAACATCACCCCTGATTTTGGTCTCACAAAACCAGACTCACTGCTTCAGGGGAGGTCCATTGACAAGGGTTTGTGGTTTCCCCTCTTCAAGAAGTTGGGCCAAGTGTCTCCAAAGTGGGGTGTGTCCATTGGGGTGCAGGAAGATAATCTTTGTACCATTAGTAAATAAATGAAAATAGTGTTTATTTTGCCTTTATCTCATCCTTTTTTAATTTCTTTTTTTGTTGTATGTTTTAAAATGTACATAATACATCAATTCAGTAGTTTATAAAGATACATAGAGTAATATATATATTAAATAATTATAAATATATGTATTTTTTTAATAAAAAAAATATAAATATATGTATATTTATAAATATACATGGCATGTCCTCCAAAATTTTTTACTGATGGGGTAATCAACCAAAAAATCTGGAAACCACAGATTTATGCCAAGCAGAGTTCCATGTGGTTTTCAGAGCAGGAAGACATGATGAACCTGCAATGCTCAACCTCACCAAAAAGAGCTATTCAAACACTTTCCCAAATTATTGTTAAGTAACCAGCATTGCAGAGGCTACTATCAAACCCAGGCTTGCTTGTTTAAGTGCCAAGCAGCTTTGTAAACTCACCTCTCCAGGACATACTGCATGGTTTCTGCTATACCAGCCTGGTCTTCTCCTATCAGGGAGGGCTGGAAGACAATCTCTGGAGCCCTGATTCTTTCAGTGCCAAGGAAAAGCTGGTGGTACTCTGCCAGGTTAAACACAGGCTTCAAAGAGATGAGATTGAAAAGGAAATTATGTTAAAGAACAGTAATATTCTGGAATAAGCAAAGTTTCCAAACAGTTCTATACAAGAAGTAGATTGTAAAGCTCTCACAGAGGAAGAGCCATGCTGTAAAAGGTTCCAAAAGGAAGCTGGACTTTTCCTATTCTTTATTCTCTTTGGTGCCACCCAATCCTAAGGCTCAACCCCACAAGCTGAGAGCTGTGTGCACTGGGATGTGATATGAGGCTATGGATCACACACAAAAAGCTTGAGCAGGACTTTTTTCCCCTAATAAGATCCACTGCTCCAAGAGGCACTGCCTGCAGAGCCACGTGGGTATATTCCTGCTCCAAACCACCAGCTGAGACTGCAAGGACTTCTCTCTCCATGTCCTGTACAGACAGTTTAAACATTTCCTCCAACAGCAGGCAGTCAATGCTTCCATGAGGTGTAGATACAGAAATCAAACCTGCACTGTAGCAACAGGCTTCTCCACTTCAGGCTGCTCCTCAGCAAACAAAGGTTCAAACTCATTCATACTTTCCACATCCTCCAGTGACTGTTCACTGCCCAAGGGATCCAAATCTGGAGTCTGGAAAGAGAAGATACCTTTAGGCAGGTCAGCTCAGGTGTGCTAGGCACATAGGAGACTTTAATTTTGGAAAACACAATGCCCATTTCCTCAAATCTCAGCTTTTTGACATGCTGAAACCAAATATGCTGTTCTCTAGCACTGGAGACAATCAAAGTGGTGAAGAACCCAGAAAACAGGAGTTAAGACAGATATTCACTCAAAGCATAAAAATCAAACACTTTCAATAGATGTATCATGATGCCAGCTCAGAAATTAAAGGCCTTAGTCACCAGGCTGAGTGCCAGCTGTGTCCTACACACACCAACACACTAAAGCTTATTAAAATAGCTTTTTAAATTGCTTATAACTTGGTGCACTTCCAGCACCTCCAACTGCTCTGTAATTCCCACTAAATTCCCTGCTTTGCTCATGTGGGACTGGAAAACAAACATTTCTCAGCTACAAAGCTGCCACACAATTTTTGAGAGTTTCAGCTGCCAGTTTTGACACAGGATATACCAACAGCCCTCCTATTTTACACAGCTCTGCAGGTGCTCCCAAAGCTCCTTCCCAATGAAAAGCATCACTCAAAATCCTGGAGCACTTCACTCTGGTGAAGTAGGAGCAGCTTTTAAACTCCCCTTCTTTTTGTCTTACAGTGTTACCTTTGGGCTTTTGTTGCTAAATACTGATTTTAAACACTTGTTGCCATGTCTAGCAAGAGATGCCAGGCTGAGGGAAAGTTGGATCATTTAAACATTCTGAAATATCTAATTTACATGCACTTAAAACCCAAGCAGTCATTCCAGCTGAAGTTTAAGCAGTGTTCATTGTTACAAGCAAGCCAACTGTAGTCACCTGAAGTTTTCTTCCACACTTATGCTTTGTTAAATCAATTTCTCTTTACTGTTTGGTTTTAAGATGTAAAAGAAAGAAGTAGAACTTGGCTGAAGATTTGGCACAGACCCTAGGACCACATCACTGCCTTTCAGACTCCTTCACAGGCCCACAGAGGGCTGGTCTGTCTTCACAAATGGACTCATCATGATTGTAGGTGCTCTCACAAAGCACAGAGCAAACAACAAGGCTCCTGGATTCATCCCAAGGCCTGAGATGACACCTAGTAAAGAAGAGGAGTGTGGGACTCAAGAGGGGCATGTTGGAACTTAGGCACAAGCACTGACCAACACCAGAAGCTGAGAGTCTGTCAGTTATCTTTTTCCTAGAAGGATTTCTTTGGACAGAAATGTTGTTTACCACAATGGTAAGCCCATTATCTACCCCAGCTTCATTCAGACAAAGTCACTCTGATTCTTACACAAGCTTTCCTGATAAGGACAGGCAAAAATGTAACACCCAGAAGATCCTGGCTCCCCTGCTAGTTTCAGCTACATCTCAAATTCCATGTAAGACACAAGAACTACATCTGGCACCACACTCCTCTATGCTTCAATTTTCTGGTTTTCATTTTTAATTCTCTGAGCAAAGAGCAAAAAAGCTCCATCTTCTGTGACTGAAAAGTCAATTACAAGTAAATGTACAAACAGCCTTAGACCATCTCTTGGGAGCAGCTGCAATGGGCTGGGCCTGTATGAGTTTGGCAGAGCAGAAAAATAAGCTTCTCATCTTCAAGACAACTCCAACAACCAAATGTAGCAACTCCTCCTTCATTGTTAAGCAAACAAAACAGAACATGCTGCTTAAGTGCACCTAAAGAGGACAGCCAGAATGAAGGCAGAGGGTTAGTTCTTTACTGTGGAGTTCCCTGCACCTGGAAAGGGAAGAACAGAAAGGAAAACAAACACTGTTTTTAACAAAAAGCTTGATAAGTTCTTCTACAGCTTTCATAGAAAGCTACTGATACTTCAAGATGTTTTAAAATTATAAACACTTGAGGTTTAAGTACTTCAAACTCCACATCATTTAATTGTTAGATAATGAAAAGAAATCTAACATTCCAGGGCCACCTATTTCACCAAAACAAATGCAAAAGCAGAACTAGAGGTTGGTTTAAAGTATGAACCAAATCATTATGTTAGCTGCTGCATGTACAGCCTCCAAGCCAGTCAGCCTGGAGTGAGGGCAGTGGCTGGCACAGGCTGCCATGAGTAAGTCCAGAGAGGAGTGGGACCTTCAGTGGGACCTTCAGTGGGACCTTCTCTGATTCACTAGGGTCTCTTCCTTGTTTCTCCAACATCTCAAAGATGTGCATGAAATTTTTAAGGATAACAGTCATTATTGATTTCACAGAACTCTACTCCAACCACTGTCAGGAAGCCTAAAGATGGTGCTTAGAATCACACAGAATCCAACTCTAAGGTGTGTCCCAGAGCACAAGCAGGGTGAGTGATCTCAGGCACGTTCTCCAAAATAAAAACTGTCCCTTTCTGTAGCTGCACAGGAAAGTTGGAAAAGTGAGAAGCAGCTGCCCAATTAACAATGAGTTGCAGTGTGTTAAAGAATAATCTTCATCATCAATAAAGTGTGTCTGAGGGGGCACATACTCAAGCAGAGAAACTTAATTATGTCAGAGATAAGAGGAGGATTAACTTGGTGAAAGTGTTATACCTCTGGCTTGGAGAAGCAGTTGCCAAATTAACGATGAGTTGCAGTGTGTTAAAGAAAAATCTTAGCTCACCAATAAAATGTGTCTAAGGGGACACCCACTCAATCAGAAACTTAATTATGTCAGAGATAAGAGGAGGATTAACTTGGTGAAAGTGTTATACCTCTGGCTTGCTGTCCACAACATCTACTTCAATATTGGCTTCTGCCTGCAGGATTTTCTGCTTCGTTTGTTCCACAGACACACTCAACTTGTTGATATAAGACTGAAGTTCTTCTGCAGAGTCCATGTTCAGCTCCACCAAAGCTTTGTGGAATTGATCCATTTGACCATCTTCTAGAAGCTCCTACAGACAGATGAGAGTTAGCTGTGAAGAGCAACACAGGGTAAGCAATTCTCTGTCAGATGTGTGTGTAAAGACACTTTGCCTTCATAACTAGGTGTTATGATCACAGAATCATAGAATGATGTGCATGTTTTGGATGCATTCAAAATATTTCAGGCAAGAAACACTGCTCAGAACCTGGAAGCACCCTCTGCACCAACCATCTCTCCCTTTTATCTTGCAAGTAACCCTAAAAAGCTCTGATCAGAAAACACACGGGGCAGTCGTAGCTTCTTCAGTGCTGCACAACTATCTGATCCAGCTCCAAGGGCAGCTCACCCTCCTCCCAAAACCCCCCCCAGGAAGCCCCTCCTCCATTACCTGCACATACAGTAACCTGTCCAGCCTCTCCTGGTCCAGCTGCAGCTTCTCCTCCCGCCGGCGCGCGTTGAGCTCCTGGAGGCGCCGCAGCTGCTGCTGCCTCCTCTCCTGCTTCTCCTCTGAGCTCAGAGTGCTGCCCAGCAGCTTGCTGGAGAAAGGCAGCTGCATCTTGTGCACGTTGTCCTCGTAGTACTCTGGGGACCTCCACTTCTGCAGCTCTGGGTGTTGGAAAGCAGGAGAAACGTTTTGTCAGGCTGCAGGTGATGATGTGGGCGCTGGGCACGCTCCACGCCCACTTCAGACTCAGAAGACAGAGGGGAACAAGGGTCCAGCCTGGGATCCCATCACCTCTGGGCAGCTGCACCCTCATATTTAGCTGCCTCCTCAGAGCCACATACTCAGGGCTCACAGTTCTCAGTGCTCTGATCTCCAGCACGGAGGAAACACAAAGTACTAACACAAGGAAACTGCACACTAATGTCTCCCCTCTCTCCCCAAGGCAAGGCAGAGTTCTCACACGTCTCTAAGGGCACCTGCAGGCTCTCTTGGAAATGGCAAATTAAAGAAAATATTTTTCTTTGGCCACTACTTAAGCTGATGTACACCATGGAAATCTCAAAACTTCTTTAACTCACCAAAAAAGTCACAAGCGTCCTCTGCAATTTAAGAAACCTTAAAGCAGGTAAGAAAAGTGGCCAGCTGCAGAAATCATCCTGACCAACTGAATATTGTACTGGAAGTATAAAGTAATAACAAAATAAAATCATTTTAAGTTATTTTGCTCTGAAATAATCCCTTTTTTTCCTCCACTGAGACACCTGAACTAACACTTTTTTTTCAAATTTAATTTTCCTTCTATCTTAATGTTAAATTCAAAACTGTTGTCAAGCATTTCCTTGAGGTATGAGGAATTTCTATGAGGTAGGTCAGCAGAAAGACAGCTATAGAGAAAGCAAAACAGGAGTACTTCTGCCAGCATCCCAGCCAACCTGAGAACAAGGGATACAAAAGACAAAAGGAAGTTTGGGTGAAGTCTAGGGGGAAAGTGCAGGTGTTTTGACCTTCTATGTAGTCCTCTGCAATGTAGCTGTGCTCATGCAGTATTTCCTCCATGCGACTGAGAGTGATGGCAGCAAAATGTCCTGGGTACTTCAGCTGAAGGAGCCTCTGGAGGTACACAGCTGCCTGACACCCTCCAAGATTAATCCGTTTGCAGTTTTTAGCATCCAGCCTAAAAAGGCAGAGACAGCTGAGATCAGAGAGAGCCACAAGTTCAGTGTAAAACAGACTTCCTCTGTTTTTTTATATTTAAGTTCTGATAGGGTCAAGCAGACAGAGGAATATTCAGAAATAAGCATTTCAAGGTTCAGTCACCAGAGCATCTAACACGCCTGCTTTTCTCAGACAAGAAGCTGAATCACTGCCTTGTTTACTGCAGGTACTTCTGAGAGTCTCTGCTTGGCTTTAAAACAAGCAAACATTGAATAATTTTGGTCACAGCAAGGAAATGTTCTATTTTAAGAAGGGAGGCAGTGGTTAGTGGAGCTAAAGGTAGCTCCTTCAGCCTTTGTAGCACTTCACAGCTGGCCAGGTGTAACCTTTGAAAATTTGAAGCATCTATCTGATAGAATAAAGACATTTTCTGTAGGAAGGATTTAAAAAATAGTCATAATTTAAAAAGAAAAAAAGAGTAAAACAACATAGCAGCACAACCAGAATGATAAAAGCCTGGAGAATTGCATGAATCTAACTGAGCACTTTCTTCTGTCCCAGAGCTGCTTTAAAATCTATGTTTTTTAGTGCCTGATGTTACTCGTGCCAGATCCATGCATGAAAAATAACTTAGAACACAATATGTACAAGGACAACTCTGCTTTTTCCATTCAAAATTCAACAGAGCTTTGCACTATCTGCAGACTTAGTTTTAACTCCTCAGTGTAAATTAAGAGCTGGAACTGCAGGAGCAGAGCTACTAAACTCTACAGGAATAGGTATTTGCACCACTAAAGAATCACTGACTCTTTAGTGAGACTAAAAAGTCTCCTTGTCACTGACTGAGGAGGAGAAGCTGCACAGAACTTCACACCAAGCACTCACCTGCCTTCTAGGACTGGCAGGATGTGTGTGCACTGATAGCCTGAGGATATCACCAAGCCACTGCAGGGCCAGCTCTGCCTCCTGTTGTGGTAAAAACTGTACAAGCTGTCTACTCCATAGGACACTTTTGGCACTTGGTAACATTCAAAGAGGAGCTCTGACATCATCTGTCTCGAATACAGAGGATTGCACACGGCTTCTGTCAAAACAATTGGATGATCAACACAACCCTGCAAGAGACAAAAGAAATATTATAAAAGTATGAAGGGAAAATTCAGGGATAGTTGTCTGTGCTTTTTCTTTTGAACATCAGCAAAGACTCCTCCAAAATAGCAGCAAAACAGCATGTAATATGAATTTTTATGTGCACATTTTAAATGTGCAGACTATTAATCATGTAAATCAAATTCTATCTAGTACTTAAGGATGCAAAAAGGTTTTATCTACAGCCACACTTCTAATGTTAATTCAACCAATGAACAGACTGCTAAGGGTGCAGGAGAATGGATTTTTGAAAGATATATGAATCATTAAAAAGTAAGCAAGCAAAATCTATGCAACAAAAAGGTGAAGTGTGAGTGAAAGCTGGTGGATGCTTAGTTCAGCACTAGGTAAAGCTTCTGAACTGGTGTTGTCACACAGGAAAAAGGCTTCACGGTTTGAGGAGCAACTATCAGCTCAGCTGTTTGTATAAACCAAACAGTCACTCAGCACAAACTAGAAATGCTTTGTCTCCTTGTCAAAGACCGACCCTGGCCGTTGGTTCTCAGCCGCAGCCTGACAAGACGCTGCCGCCCACACCTCTCACCCTGCAGCTCTCTGCTGCGGGTGAAGGAATTAAGAGAACCGCGGCGTTCAGAAGCCAGCCCTGGGCCGTGTCTGCGCGGAGGGGGGCAAAACAACCTCCGAGGACAACCGGGGTGACGCCGGAGCC